ATGGAATTCATATAAAACGGAAAAATCAACAGTGTTATAGGGGGTCAACTGTATTATATATTATATATATACTGTATATTATTTGATAAAAAAATATTAATATTTATATTTTTTATTGAGAAATGAATTCATATTTGCAAAAACAAAACGGCATTATTATCTAAATTTATAATTAATAACTTTGTAACAACATAAGGTTTGCAACAATACAAATATTCTGTTTTTATACAACTATATTAAAAAATATAGTTGTATAATTCTAGGTAGAAGTTAGCAGAAAACACACACAAAATGAAGGTACTACTTATAAAATTAAACAGATGCAATAACATTAAGTGAAACATGAATAGGGGGAGGAAAAAATGTTAAATATGATTTATTAATTCATAAATTTCAAAAAGAATAACACAAACCATTTATTTTGATCTCTATCGATAATAGTTTCTATTATCAAATTTTGAAAACTAAAATAAGTAAAGTTGAAATAAACATCATTAATCTGCAGGATTATTGATTCAGCTTTCCAATATTCTTGTAACTAAACGTCATTTCTTGTAGAAAACATTCATTAATAGATTCCAAATGCGATTCTAATCTTTCACGGGGTATCAAATTATTTTCCTATCTTCTCCTGTTGACAAATTATCCTAACTTCTGTCAGTGCTTTAATAATGTCTCGAGAGACTAATGGCTTCTGTATGGAAATTTTTAACTTCATTTTTCTTGAAAAACTTTTCGAAACATAATGGCAATTACATTAAGTGAAATTGTATATGTCATTATGTATTCTCTTATCATTTTCCTTGTAAGATTTTAATGGTTATCAATTGTTGAAGTGTGTGTATATATATATATAAACGTATATAAATAAATTTAAGTAAAGAAATAAGAAACAAGATTAATTAATTTTCTAAGAATGCTTAAAAGATAGTGTTTAATTACATTTGTTTGTGTTCTATATTATAGTAGGCTGTGTTGTATTGTGTTATATATACTGCACTATTTATCCATTCCGTATTGTGTTCATTACAATGATCATAATACAATTATGTTGTATTATGTTGTTTTCTGTATAGTGAGTAATTGTATTGTGTTGTATTACGTTATGCCCTATGTAATATAAAAATGTTATATGTAATATTGAATTATGAAGTTACTCTGTGATATATAACGTTGTGTTATGTTCTGTATAATATGTAATATTACATTATGTTCAATTTAATTACACTGTTTTATGTTACTTTGTACGTAGTGTGTTGTATTGATATAACACAAACAATAATATAATAAATACTTGTTGTTTGTGTTGTGTAAATGGTAATTTTAACATTTAAATGTTTTGTAGTTATGTTTTATACAATTTAATTATTCACTATAAAATAAAATATGTTTATAATACAGTCGACCCCCATAACACCGTTGATTATTCCGTTTTATATGAATTCCATGTTGTAAGAGTCACTTAGATTTTACAANCTTTAACAAATAGTAATTTAGTTTTTATATAATAAATTATAATTTGTATATAGTATGCTATTAAGATAATAAAAAAATTATGTCAGTAATAGATATATTACCTTACGAATTATCTTCCATACAGCTCATTATTTAGAAGTACATGATTCATCAAACATTTATAGCAAATGACATCAGCAGAGTGAGACACAACCTTTCCTTAAATAAAACGTCAGAAGGATCTTTATTATATAAAAGTAACTTGCACATCACATCTTAAAAATATATAAATATATTTAATTAACTTAAACGTAATCTTTCTTACTTTATCGCTACACCAATACATAATTAATGCATATACGTGTATAAATATAACATAAGTAACAAACCAGAACCATAAATTATTTACAGATATAAATATATATATCAAAACAAATTATTATAAATTACAAAATAATACTGAAATAAAATTAATTATTATAAAAATTAATAATAAAATTTAACTAATTTTTAATCTTTATAATATACAAATTTTTCGTGAAATTTCCACCTTTAGGAGTGTGTAATTTTTGAAAGAATAACAATAAAAATTGTATAAACTAATGCTAAAAATTAATTTATTTAAATAATAGCGTGCAAAATTTATTTATCTATGAAAAATTTTTTTAAATTACGAAATCTTCTTTAATTTAGTTGTTTATAGAATGAAATAGCGTGTTCTTATGACCTTGAAATTTGGAAACCTTGATCGTTCTACACATACAGCTGTCACAAGTATTGCAAAATAATTACACGATATAGTTGCACCCGATTCAAAAACACTACCGATAAACATATTAAAATAACCATTATATGTATAAGTCACGCATTCAACCTTCTATATATATATATATATATATAATGCTTCAATTATTATAAAGCAGTTAGTTGTAATATGACGTTTTCTAAATTAAAAAAAATACATTTATATATTCTAATACGTTCCTAATTTTAACATAGTCTTTACTATGCAATCAGTACAGTAGCTTATCCATGTAACGATGACCTAAAACATTAAAGTGAGAATAAATTAAAGACCTATATTAGTTTTATCATTACATTTATATAGTCGACGCCCGGCCCTTGTCATAGCCTGAATTCTATGTAAAATAAGGGTGTAAGACCTAAATTTTGTGAAAAATCTATGTTAAGAACACGTCACCACCTCCCGTAGATCTTCACAATATTATTATTATTATTAGTTTTTATACGAAAGAAATTTTAAATTTAATATTTCTTTGAGCCGATAAAATCAATATTGAAGCTTTGATTTGATCTAATGATCAGTTGAAGTCTTCAGCTTTGGATCCAATTGGAAAGTAGCCAAGCTACACACCACTCCTTCAACAAAAGTGTATTTCTCTGGAGCAACAATTCACTGAGGCAAAGAAAGATAGGATAGACATTGTCTACTTTCCTATTGTCGATAAATAATGCCTTTTTAGATCAAAATAGTTAATCTATAAATCTTTGTAGTCTATCTATTAAGAAGTTACAATCGTTTTTTGATGATTTCGTTTCGTTTAGAAAATGAAATTTTCAACTTTATATGGGCAATTTTGTTTTCTTTTTTTTTGTTTTCTATCAGCCATCAACATTTTAGTGAAAAGTTTTAATTAAATAAAAACTATATATATTCAATAATTTCACTTTTCTTAATGCTTAAAGGTTTCTGAATCTTCAGCATTAATTTAAGTTTTCATCTTCAGTTTCATCTTTACGTTTTCAACATCATTTTTCTTTGGATTTAATTTTAATTTAATTTTTTTTTGCTTCAAATTTTCAGCTTTATTTCTTAACTATTAACTTCTTAGAATTAAATATTTAACTTAATTTTTTTTAAATTTAATCGACTTTAATTCACTTATAACAAAAGTATAATTCAATAACTTTTCTTTTTTTTGCATTAAATTCAACTAACTTTCGGCTTATGTTTTGTCTGATATTCTAAAAATAAAACAAGAAAATATTGCATAAAAAATTTTTTTTATATTCATATATAAAAGTTAGACTAAACAATTTTGTTTAGTCTCTAACTTTTTATACATCTTCAAATTTAGTTTATTATTTTATAAATTTTTAAACTTATAAGTTTCTAAGTTAGTAAATAATAATAACATTTTCTATGACTCTTTACTATAAATAAATAATATTTTTGATATAAAAGTATTGAGAGTTTGCTTAAAAGTGTCAATACTTTTACATATATTCTCGAAACTTTTATTGTAAACAAAGTTAAATTTTAACATAAAATTGTTCAAAATATTTATAATTTAATATAAAAAAATTTATATGTTTTCATTCTAATATATTTCAAATATAAAAATTAATTAAATATTTATTTACCAAATTTTAATACAAAGTGCTTGCTTAGAATTAAGCTAATTTGTCTATCGTAATTATCCAAAAAAATTTATAATTTTCATAATTTAAACTTGAAAAAGTAATAATTTTTATACTTAAATTAACCTATTATATTATTATAATTAAAATAAATAGATAAAGATATTTAATATTAGCATCAAATCTATAAAATGATAATAATGATAATGATAAATGTCAGTGGCCATTGTTCTCAGGTTTGACTGTAAATATATAGAAGAATTTCGTTAAATTTGTTTCTTTACAAAATTCTTTACATTTCATTTTTATTTATCTTTTTATATTTTTTAAAAATATTTGAATTACAAATTAAACTTTTTTTCTATATATAATTTTTGTTTTTAGCTACTTCTTTGCTGATTTATTATTCTTAGATAGCATAGTATAAATTTTTACTAACCTATGTGATAAAATAAATAATTTATATGATAAGGTTTATCCCAAATATCCGTTTCATGAATACAAACAATTTCTTATTAATTCATGGGCAATCAATATTTTACTTCTTGCATTAAATTATGAAACGTTTTCAAACTGGTTTTTTCACTTCAAATAATAGTAAGTAACATATACGTGTTAAAAATCAATTAAATACTTGGAAAATGACGTAATAAAAAATATCAATTAAAAAAATTACATTTTAGACATTAAATTTTAAGCAAAAAAACTTATTATTCATTTATTAATTTTTATGTGTATATATTTAAATTCTACTTCTTAAAATTTAATTTTTTTAAAGCAAATATGCTCTAAAATGACTTAAATTTCAGTTTTAAACATTAATTTTGAGGAGGAAAATATATATAGGCCTATATATAAAAGAAAAGAAAAGCTATTCATAATCTTTTGACACATGAAAAATTATTCTAAATATTCAAACTTTATTCATGAAAACAACAATATTCAATGCGAGTGGTTATTCTATTCAAAAAAAAAAAAAAAAATTTAACTTTATTTTTGACCTCATTCTTTATACTAGGAAGACATTTAATGTACTTTCTCATGAATGACCTTATTGCTCTTCCTTTTATTGTATTAACATCACATCATTTATTAATATATAAACTTTTTTAACACATGATGATAAAATTTCAGGAAGTATTATTATAGTTTTTTTTTAAATTTTTGTTAAAGTGTATAATACTTTAACACGTTATCTAAACAGCCAGGAAGTTCACAAATTACTTGATAAGAAATAAGCTGTCAACATAAGCTCTTCTGAATAACAATCGAATATGGGTGGATGTACCATCGTGAGTGTTGATGTCCTAGATAGCATCAAGTACCAACAAATCTTTTGTATTAAAATGTTTATCTTATATCGAATGATTTATATGAATCTTTCACATGATAATATATAAATTCCTTTACTTTGTATTCGTTCTTATTATTATAATTCTATTTATTTTACTGGCTTTCTCTTCTACAAAGAAAGGATCTCATTATACAGCCTCTTGAAGCGAATATAAAAGGTGTCCATTATTGGAGGTTCGAATGTATCTAATAATTATATAATTATATCTAACTAGGAAATCTGTATAAAAAGTAAATTTACAACTCAATATTATGCATTTTATTGTTTTTTTTCCCTTTAACATGTGTTATATAGAATATTAAAGAGACCAATGCGTGTTTATATAACGTATTTAAAATGAAATATATTTGAAAAAAAAAGAAGAAAAATATCTAAAAATCATTGATATAATCTTTATAGTTAATGGTGCAAGTCATGACTTTGATGTCCTTTAAACATTTTGTTTTTCATCGAATTGGCCTTCTATTATTGTTAACCACTTCACGTATGAGTAGACAATGAAACTTTATTAACGAAAAGAAAAAAATATCACTAAAAATTCCCTCAATTCCTTTACCGTTTATTGTTTTTAACGATTATTATCTACTAAAATCCCTATTAAATTTTTTAGAAAATCTAGTTACCATTCTTTAAAAATCCTTTTCTTTTTTTTCTGCTTATTTTGGATGGTTATCAACTGCTCTATTTTGTAAATACTAAGCGTGCTTTGAATTTGTAAATACAAATTAGTCCTTGAGTAGTAAAAAATCAATAAATATATTTTTTAAAAAAAATAAAATTTATAATTTATTTATATATTAATTTTAAACCACTATTTATAACATTGTTAAAAATATTAAAAATTAATAATAATATCTGAAGATTGTGAAAAACATAATGATATCATGATAAAAGTAATACTAGAGATGAGAAAAATAACAATAAATGTCAAGGTTAACAACTATAGATCTCGAGTTCCGTCATCAATTTATATTATTCTATAGACATATAATACATTTTTTAAGAATTTTATCACATAACTGACAACGTGGGGTCAACTAGTAAATTAATTATTATAATTTCGTCTTGTTAATCATGAAAATAAAGTTAAATAAAATGGATTAAATTCTTAATTTCGCATCCATTTTATTTTTTTTAATTTTTAACTTCAAAAATATACAAAAGTCACGAATGTTTTTTTATTACTTTCGATAAATCATGCGTGCCTTTTTTTTAAATTTAATTTTCTGACAAATCATCATGTTTGTTTGAATTTTATATGTCTATTTAGATTTTTTTAGATCAATAGTAATTAAGTAATTAAAGGTAATAAAATTAAATATTTTTTATTACTTTCCAGTCTAGCAACAACACCTAGAATCAAGAGTCTTTACTCATTTGAAATTTGTGGGGCCCTGCGTACTGTATTTAAAAGTCTTGTAGGAAAAAACGAATAAAAAATAGGGCCTTTTTTTTACTCTTACGTCCTAGGAAAGTATGTGTGTTGTGTAGGCACAATAGTTAAGTAGGCCTTGACTCTAGAGAATTTTGAAAATTTAAGGTAAGTAAAATTAAATTTTTTAAATAATTTCAATTCTAACAAATTAAATATATTTCATAATATACCTGTTACACCTGAAACTGGTTTTTGTACAATAGTTTTTGANACTTAAAATCCCCGTAATCCTTTTTTGTCTACAACCGTTCATTATACGCCCACCGACAATATTGCTTAAAATTACATTCACTGGATTGTCTGTACTGTAGTTGTTGGCGATTGCTTAAATTCTGTATGATTTTTAACTGGCTTTACTTACATTCAACTCTAGCCGTAGTTTCTAAAAATGTTCAGTTATCAATGATAGTGAATGCAAACATGCATCCAGTTTTAAAATATGCTTAAACTTTTAAGTTTCTAATGGTCTGTAGTGCTTCAGATAAATGGGAGGCATATAGTTAGTGGTCTGGGATATACTGGTAAAATTATTATTAAATAATTTCCAGCAAAACTGTTAATTTGGCAAGGTTTTAGAACCAAACATGCCGGAAAGTCAGTGATTGACCTGTATATCATTATTTAAAATATTAAGCATTTGAATTACTCTAATATATTTATACATACATTACAGATAAAACACCAATGTTTGACATACTGATGAATATTCCTAAAACAAAAAACAGCAAAATCAATGAATGCAAGGACGACGAAAAATCCACTCAATACATTCCGTTACCAGTTCTGTTAAACCGGTCGATTCTTCCTCTTATTCAAACACAGTACGTAACAAAATTGTGCTTTCTTCTCTGTAATTCCTGTGTATTAAATACAGATTTTTATATGTACATTACTGTATTTATCCAACTCACGTGTATATTTATTTGTTAAGTCAAGATTACGAATTTCATTAAAATTATCTTGCCATTTTTGTGTTTTAAACTCGATAAAATTGCACAAAAGTAATTTGTTTTCGGTGATAATCTCATGTCAGAAACTAAAACATTAAATTGTAACTCTACAAGAAAAACTTCTTGAGATATAGAGCGTGACAGACAGACAGACAGACAACAGATAGAAACCGAGACACGATATATATGTTTATTTCGTGTCTCGTATTAATATAAATAAATCTATAAATATTTAAGGCCTACTTCTTCAGCGAGGCGTAAAAGATGCATTAAATTAATGATTTAAAACACGCTTAAAATTAAGATAAATTGAAGTTTTAGAATGAAAACAATGAATTAATAATCAATTCTAGAATTAACTAGAATATGTATCTACTTTGCATATTAATGAACGTATAACATATGTAATTATTTTTCTTAAATCACAGCACATGTGACACTCTTCTCAGTACGGTCACACGAAGACACAAACTATAAAAAAAAAAAGATATTTAATTGTTAATTAGTTTCTAAATTATAATTAAAATTTTTATTAAATTAATGTGTAAAATAAATAAATATACATATTTGGTAATTAAGCTATTGAAATTCAAAATTTTATCATCATAATTGAAATTTAAATGTGCAGAAAGAGAGAAAGTCTTGCAATGATACAGAAATTAATAATATATTTATACTAATTTTATGTACACAATTTATTAACATGGTTCTCGACGTATTGGCATGGTTACTAATCTTTAATATTAATAGTGTAAATATTTAAAAAAATTATAATATTCTTGGTGGTAGATAGCAAGATGTTATGTAGGAATATAGGTAGTCTTCTGTGAAATATAGTAGATAGAGTATATGAAAAATTAAAAAAAAAAAATGTAATGATGCTAATGATTGGTTTAGAAATATGCAAAATAGTCATTCAAGTGTTTCCAACCAATAAGAAATCAGTTAACGTAAAAGTGAGAAAGGCTTTGCATATTTCTTTAGAGAATTGCTTATTATTATTATTATTTTTTTTTTATTTCTCTGTATATATTATTATTTTTTAAAAGTTATTATATCAAATAATTTATAATTTTACATCTATCTGTAATATATGAAAGAACGTCCTTCGTCACAATCAGTAATCATCATAAGTTATGAACAATTCAAATTTAAACAAATATTTAATAAATTAATCTCGCGTGTTTAAAAGACATATATTCTTGAATAATTTAAATAATATAAATATAACAAATTTTCATATAAAGTTGATAAAAATTCTACATAATTAAGCTATCAATCTAGATTACAGAATGCTTCTTTCATGTTTAAGATTTCGAAGATTATTAGGTAGTTGTTGACCCACTCCCTCATACTTAGCTTCATTCAATAGCCCTTCTATGTCTTACTGAACTGTAGAAAATCTATTTCTTTATACGGGTTTTTTTAATAGTCTACGTATAAATATACTGTACAGAGTTCTCGCTCCTCTTCTTCAATATATGAATGGTATGGTTCATTCAATGTAGATTAAGTGTTAAAAATCTATATTTTGTAAATGCTCTAGAACATCACTGAGATAACAAAATGATTCTCTCATTCAGCAGCTGTTGATTTTCCAGAAGGTAACAACGAGGTCATCTCGTCTTCCTCTTTCAAATTTTATGAAAATGGGGGTCTGAATGGGTTTATATTATTAAAAGAAAAGTTATCGAGGATCCCCTACTAAAATATTAAATATGGAAAAACTATAAACACTTGTATATAAAAATTTTTTCATAAACAACTAGATACTGCATATATAAAAATTTTTTCATAAACATCAGCTATTATTTATGTATTATTTCGCTTCTATAAGTTTGATCTTTGTGACGTTTCTCTCTCTTTCTCTTTTTGCCTTAGTTGTTATTTATGGACTATTGCCAAAATGAGTGTTAGGATACTCGAATTTCCTTCATGTTACATGTTATATTTTTTAAAAAATTGCCAATGTAAACTTATAAACTATTTAAAATATGTTATAATACCCTACAAGATAGTGATTCTTTTCTCTTTTTTTTTTCACTAGTAAACAGTTACCATATTGTTCTATTGCCACTGTATATTTATAGCACAAACATAATTAAAAGGAAGTAAAGGAATTTACTATTTTTAAACTAAAAATTTAGTTTTTAATTCATATGACAATTAGTTTCTTATTTTAAAATGACATTTTTAAAATAATTTATTTCAATTAAGTAAAATATGCAAATTACAAAGATTATGAGCGTTTGCAGCGAACTGTGACGTTTGAAACGTGTAAAGAAAATATGTAAATTTAATTTTACATTAAAGTTACATAAATTTTTCTGATGTTTACGAAAAATTGTAAATATACTCCTTGAATATAGACATAAGTTATGTGATTTATCACTATAAAATAGGAATATAATTCACATGTGTTGTTATAAATAATTGTAACCATGTGACTACATTCCAGAAAAATTTTTTTATGTAACACCTTCTTTATTTTTTTTCTTATGTTTTATAACACATAAATTAATTTTTTAAATAAGTTATTTCATGTATAATCGTACAAAATTATCTAAAAATTTAATATAAAACAAACCTTGCTCGTTACTGTTTGATTAACTTACGTTTTGTTTTCGATTTTGGCAATGGTCTCTACTATTGTTTAGTTTAAAAAAATATTGTAGGGTGATAAAAAGAAACTATTCTATGAAATATCATATTGTATCAAAATATCATTTTGAAATGGTGATATTTTTTAAAAATATATATATATATATATTTCTAAAGGTTATGTTTGTTTTCTTTCTTCTGTGCCAAACGTGATTCATAACAAGTTTATTGATGATTAAATAATGATGTCACTATCATGTGCCATAACAATGATAGTTAATCATATCTAATTTAAGAAATTCTATTTAATGTTGCTATTTTTTTATTACCAATTTACTCGAATTCAAGGCATATTTTTTCGAATTTAAGATCTTAAATCGTGGTGTTCTTTGCCACTCTTCAAAACTCCACATACTGTATAATGATTTTCTGTTAGTTATAACTCACTTCTAAAACAATATTAACGAGCCAAAAAAAAGTTATAAAGCCTTTAAATTATACAGGGATTGACCAAAAATCAGTTAACCTCGTGTTCCCGGTTCGCTCGTAAACAACACGACAATGTTAACCGATTTTTCGACCACCCTCCGTCGCTACGTAATTACAATCGAATCTTTTGTCTATAAAACAAAAAAAGGCTCGAAATAATCGACGATTTGTTATAAAGATTAGCATATTAAACACCTAAATAACTTCTTAATTAACTTAAGAAATGGTTATTATATAAATTCTAAAAGAATTTTACTCATAAACTTAAATTAATTAAAACGATTTTAACGTTCGAAAAGTAATGTTTAATGCATATATTGTATAGTTCTTTTTTGATGATGATGATGTGTTATTCTAAATGCAGCTGCTTTGGCTCATCATACATTTACAGCCTTGGCATTTATTGCACAATATTATTACTCATTTCACATTCCATTTCTATCATTTTCATTACATAAAAAATATAAATAAAAAAAAAACTAACGAAAGAAAAATAGTTTATTACATTAAATTCCTGAAATCATCTTAATCGAAATGATATCTTGTAAGTAATCTAAGCGACAGTAATAATTTAAAAATAAAAAAAATGTATATATATATACATAATATCAACTGATATAAAATCCCTATTGGATATCACCAATTATAATTTGCAGAAATTTTACTGAAAAGTAGCAGTATCAATTCTCTTCTCATTAATTTCTTTCTCCTTTCAACTCCCTCCATTCAACTCCATCACCATCAATTCCTGAAATTACATTCGTATCTGAAAACACGTCATAACTTTATCGTAACGAATACATTACAGTCATACGATGCCGATAATTAATGACAAATTTGATATAATGAAAGATCTGGTTTGAGACAGAGCTAGCACCCACAACTGCCACTTGCCATGTGGTGTGCTTGCCAGTTGTGCCACCTGGATCCCAAGCAAGTCTTTGCTTCCATATGTATTTAAATTTAGAAATTTAGATATAACCTTATACGGTTAATCCGGTCACCCTAGAGGACTGACTGGGGGATGACTCCTACATCAATGGCCTAAGTATGAACTCCCACAATGGCACTCAGCCAGCTAACATTTTACCCAGCAAGGTGTATTATATATAAGTATATCAAACATCATAAAGCTTGCTGAGTGCCATT